TAGTGGGAATGTGCGGGGTGGGGGGTGGGGGGGGGAAGGTGAAACAAGAATAGATGGAGGACTGTCAAAAAAGGATCCATCAGGCTCTAAGTGAAGCCTCAGCCTTCATAAAGAAACCATGTTATAAAAGATGAATAGCTTTGGAAGTGCTTTTACGAACATTTGCGTGCAGCTTCACCTCTTGGCAATGTAAGACTGTCAATACTCTTACCCCAAGCTGATGTGTAAAAATGTAGAAGAGCTTTTTAGAATGTCTTTTGACAGCATCTAATGCTGCAGAGTGATTTGGAAGCAAGAAGGTGGCAAAGAGGTGAGAGGAAGGAATGACTTCGTAGGACCAGGTGGGGGCAGGCAGGGAAGGAGGAGAGAGAGAAAAAAGGAAGACTTGTTTTCAGACTCCTTGCCAAGGTTTATTAGCATGGAAATTCAATAATCCCATTAATTACAGAAAATAATGTAAGGCGGATCTGCTGGGCTATGCTACAATTTGAGCTTTACTTTTGTGGGTAATTGCCAGTGACATGTCTGGAGAGAAATATCACAAAGATACATAACAAAGGGCATCTCCTCTTTAGAGCATAGATCTTGTTTCCATGGAAACCTGTCTTTGCTTCCATCCAGGAGCTCCATGATTTATGTATGTGCAAAAGTTCCCCATTTGCAAAACACTTTTTTTAAATAGGGGAGGGGGGAAATGAAGATTTAAATAAAAAGTGTTAATAAGCAACTCATTAGTAAAATCACCTTCTCTTCAGTATTAGTTTCCCATCCATCACTGCAACTTACTGACTTTCAGTACCGATTACACCTCTGTGTTCCAACATTTAACCTAGTTTAACCAAGCTGTTTAGAGTCAAGTTCCACGATGGCTGCAAAGCTCATTGCATAGATATCCTCTTCAAGAGACTTTCTAAGATATGATTGCAAAACTTTGTTATAGCTGGAGAACAACTGGATTTGAATCCCATAAATTCATTTTTGAGATATTCTTGACAATGTCAAGAAAGGTGTATGTGGGGAGGAAATACCTCATCACTCATAAAGATTGAAGCTCTCTTTTAGACATAGAGCTTCATGAGTAAATAATCCACATAATGTAATTAATTATATTATTTGGGTAATTTTAGAAAAATAATTGTACTTTCATTTAAAATTGTTCATGAAAATTTGGAAAATGTTAATCCAACGTGGACATGAAATGAAATTCGTATTTGTGCAAATGAAAGCTGTACATAAATCTGGTTGGTTTCTGTTAGAGCAGATAAGAATATTGAAAGTTTGGGGTTTATGGCTTTTTGCCAAAAGCTTAGGCTACAAAGTAAAAGCTTATATCTCCAAGAAGTTTATTTTATTTATTTATTCAATTCATATAGCTGGCCATCTCAGCCAAGTCACTCTGGGTGGTTTGAAATTCTAAAATCATAAAACAGTTAAGACAATTAAAAACAATAAAAATATCTAAAAATGAATACATGCGGTGACTGAGATAGTTAACCAACCACTTATTTATTCAATTTATATTCAACTTTGCAGAACAATCATGAACTTTGGGGATTTTATTGAATTTTAGTAACAAAGACATCATTAGATTTTTTTTTATGCAGTTTGAAAGAGATCCATTAAAAGTTAGACCCACCCAGTATACTAATGGAAGTGATAGATGGTTTGGTATCTCACACTATATATGGAAGTTAACTTGAGGACAACTTACAAAATGCTGGTAATAGAATACCTGAATATCATTATAGCCTGTCCCAGTAGGGACAGCCAGTTTGAAAAAATGTAGTGAACAGCCGCTTCTCTTGATATTGAATTAATCTGCAAATGTTAACAGAGTCCTTCTCCAATCACATAAGAGCCTTCAAACCTGTTTATAGAATCTGTTTTAATGAACAGTCACATTTTACTGGGCATGTCCACCATAAATGATAATATGTTCCATGTACTTTTTTACATTTCCAGCATGTTGGCAAATTATTCTGGAACATCTTGGCAAGCTTTGCTGGTGGAAGATACCATCTGTAAAACATCTTCAACTGGTTTTCCTTGAATGCCACTGACAGAGTCAATTTTATGTTTATTTCCCATATTTTTTCCCATTTCTCCAATTCTATATTATATCCAAAATTTTTTGCCCATCTAATCATTGTGTCTTTGACAACCTCGTCTTCCATTTTATATCTCAATAGGTATTTGTATAAATTGCTAATTAATTTTATTTCTGTTCCATGTATAATTTTATCCAATCCTTGCAGCTCTTTTTGTATTTCATATAATTTTTTGTCCTCTGTATATTTAGATTGAATTTGTGTAAATGTCCACCAGTCAATCTCTCTGCCAATATCTTGTTCCAATTCTTGTTTTGTTTTCAGATTTCCCTGTTCATTTACTAATCCCTTGTATCTAATTATCTTATTTATATCCAGTAGGTTTGGGTATTTCAGAGCTTCTGTTGAGGATAACCACATTGGAATTCTTAGATAATGTTTTTGTTTTATTTTTTCCCAAGTCTTAACATAAACTCTTAATGTCCTTCTGATTTTAAATAAAGTAGGAATCAGTATATGCTTTTGAGATTTGTCTCTCAGATTTAAATCAGTAGTTTATAGCTTTCCATTTCCAAGAACAGAAAGTTCATTACAAACAGCATCTAATCAGCCCTTCCCCGGTGAATACTTCTCCTGTACACAAACATGCCACAGCTTTGCCATTGATCTTCCTTCAGAAAGGCTGACTTATGAAATTGCAGTCAGGGGGAAATTGCAGGGTTGAAAATGATCAAACGAGCCTTACTTCATTTTAAATCCTGCTACTCTGAGCTTTCTCTCAGGTCCGCAGTACTGACTGTACTGCCCTTAAAGCTACTTTTTATTTATGTCTAAGCTAGAAGCAAACAACTGACACATTCTTTGAAAATGGACTTTTTATTTCTTATCTAACATGAATACATAGCACAAGTGTATTATTTCTTAATACAGGACCTAGCCTAATCCTGATATTCCTTTTGGCTTTAGTTCTTTCCCACCAGTTCAATACCTTCATTAAATCAATTATATAAATAAAGCCTTGAGGAAGTTGAAGGGCTATGTATTATTCGGAACTCCCCTTTACTTAACTGAGCTGTTTGTTTCTGCTATTCACTGAGTTATCAGATTGTATGAGGGATCATCTGTGAAACTGAAATCCTCAGTATTATACCAGCCTTAGAAATATGTGACAGTATTTATTAATATTTATTTCCTGTAGTTCTGCCCCAGAATAGGAATCATTTTCAAGCTAAGAGATTAACCTACCATCCTGAAGAGTAACACATTTCCACTATAATGCACCATATTGGCAATCTAATAACTGGTGATATATACTCACTTATAATATTGCCCCATGTATGTTGTAAGTCTTCATCTATGAGCATAAAATTGTTATAGACTGTATTATTCTGCAGAAATTTGGATCAGTGGGGATAGATGATTTCCTATGTCAAATCGCAACTTCTATCAAAGCACATTGTGCTATTCATAAAATCATTAATGTAACAATAATAATAGGCAATTTTATTAACAATAATCATGTTGTTATATGTATGTATTCCTAACAGTCTAGGGTCAAAAGTAGGATACAGTATCTTAAGATTTACAGTATAAGGTAGGTTCCTGTCCACAAAAGCCACATCATTGTAAGAAAGCCCATCAGTTTTAAAGGAAAATAAAACAGATGGATGATTCCTGCTTGGATTTAGCCAGTGGGGATAGATGAGTGATGCAAAAATATAAGCCAATAGTGGCCCATTTTGGGAAAATCAACCTAGTTGTATTGCCACTCATTTAACATCTTTTCTTTCATTCTTGCACCAGCAGTGCCAGAGGGCAAAGACAAATTGATGAATAATACAAGCATTGTATAGATTAGTATAAATCCAGGCTGCTTACTCTCCTCTGATAGGAGGAAAATTCTGTTCAATCAGAACTTTCATTTACAGCTTTTTCTAAGGTATGGGGACTTTACACACAATTTTTCCAAGATATGTAATGGACATTCCCTCAACAAGCCATTAGTTTTAAAATGTAGCTTTTCCTGTCCATATGTTAACTTGGAAAGAAAAGCCCATATTCTTTTTCTGATTAATTTCTTCTAATAACTATGTGGAAGTGGGGAAGTACAAGAAATTGCTTGGATTTTTTTGACTAGAGGGGGCTGGGAGGATGACTATTAGTGACAGTGACTATTTAATACTGCCATCAGTGCTATAACAAACTCTGTTTTGGTAGGCCTTGTTGGTCCCTTTAGTATTTAAACTCTCTGATGTAACTTGAAAATGTAAGAAGCTACCTTTGACTTGTTCACATTATTGATTTATTTAGCTCAGTACTGCTTATACAGAGTGATAACCATAGAAAGGTTTTTAGAAAGAAATAATGTTTGGTATTGTGGAATGCAAAGTATATGCCATATGACCCAAGACTGGATGTCTATGATTCTCAATCATCCAGGCCATGTCTTCAGAGGTGAAGAAACTCCTTGGATGAGAAGCAAAATGTTTTCAAGAAAAAAACCAAGAAAGTCCATTTGTCTTTAGAAAGGCACCTTTAATCCTAAGACTGGGTTATATATATATCAAAAGAGATCATGATGATCTCTAAGGAATTAAAATGGACTTTGCAATAGTCACATTATCAGGCCAATACAGAATTTGTCTTTTAGTAATAATATTCTTTTTGGATTTATAGAGCCATTCACCTCATTTTGAATGACCTGCTGTTCACCCTGTTGACCCATGACTGTTGTGCTAGGTTTGCCACCAACCATATTGTGAAGTTTGCAGATGATACAACAGTAGTGGGCCTTATTCAGGATGACAAGGTGGAAGCTTACCGCAAGGAGGTTGTTGGTGAATTGGTGTAAGGAAAACAGCCTAGTTTTAAATACCGGAAAAACCAAAGAGATCATTGTTGATTTCAGAAAAGGCAGGCACAGCTACACTTCTCTGTGCATAAATAATTCACCTGTGGAGATGGTTATCAGCATCAAATTCCTGGGTGTGCAGCTAACGAGTAGGCTGACTTGGTCGCTCAACAGTGAGAAACTGATGAAACGGGCACAGCAGCGCTTGCATTTTCTGTGTCGCATGAGAAAAGCACATCTTCCTTCCCCTGTCCTGACCACTTCCTACAGGGAGACAATCGAGAGCATTCTGTCATACAGCATCACAGTCTGGTTTGGGGGCATCACTGCTTCAGACAGGAAGGAGGTGCAGAGAGTGGTGAGAATGGCCGAAAAGATCATTGGCAGTTCCCTCCCTCCCATCCAGGACATAGCACAGAAGCGCTGCTTGAGCAGGGTCCGTAAGATTATCTGGGACACTACACACTCTCTTCATGACCTGTTTTCCTTGTTACCTTCTGGGAGGAGGCTTCATGGTATCCGAAGCAGAACATCCAGATTCAGCCAGAGTTTCATTCCATACAGCATTAACCTTGCAAACTCTCAAGCTTCCTCCTTCCATTATATATTCAAAATGGACAATATTTAATATTTCTTTGCTACGTATATGTAGGGATGTGGGTCTATACATATGTTGTTCATAGTATGTTTAGGTGTGTATCATGTATGTGTTTCACTTTGAGAGCGGGCAATTAAATTTCATTTTTGATGTGTGCCATTGTGCCCACAGTATAAAAATGACAATAAAGGTTATCTTATCTTATCTTAGTTCTAATAGTCATAGAGATACACAGTAGATGCAGGCTGATCCCACTGGACTCATTTCAATATCTAAGGGGTTGTCCCAAAGAAGAGAGGGTCAACCTATTCTCCAAAGCACCTGAAGGCAGAACAAGAAACAATGGATGGAAACTAATCAAGGAAAGAACCAACCCAGAACTAAGGAGAAATTTCCTGACAGTGAGTACAATTAATCATTGGAGCAGATTTTGTTCAGAAGTTCTGGGTGCTCCATCATTGGAGATTTTTAGGAAGCTATTGGGCAAACTGTTTGAAGTGATATAGGGTCACACCAAGATCCCTTCCAACTCTATTATTCTGCTACTCTGTTATACTATAGCTCATAGATTGTTTCCCTTAGGGGGAAAATATTATCACACTTACATTTTGACCCTGATAGTGGGAAACTGCAAAATGATGAGATTCTAAATTTACCATTAAGCATTGTGGGCAATCATGTAAAATATGATTTGAAATTAATTACTTTATTAGAGAGGACCATCTTGTAACTAACCATCTAAGTGGATAATGAGACAGGACATATTTGGAGCCTATTGGTTTATTATAAATTGAGCATCCTGCAGATGCTTTGATTTTAGAAAAATCATTTCACATTACCAAAATTTCGTGTCTATCATTTTTTATTTAACATTTGTTAAGACTGATTTGTCTCACTCTAATTCCTCAAATCACCCTAATCAAGCAAATTATTTGTAATCTGAAGAGTTCTTGGGGGATTCGCATTATAATGGAATTTGGGGTTATGCTCCCACCCTTTCTTTTTTCCTGAAGAAAAAAAAAACCCCAAAACAAAACCCTACCTTAATGATTTTTCTTCTCCCAGCTCTACTTTTATCTGAAGATTTGCTGCCTATCTTAGCCAAGCTCCAGATAAATCAGAGCTAGGGAGCAAAGTGATATGAAAGTAATGCAACCTCCCAAAGAGACCTGATTCAAGTTGTGAATGAGTGATAGAAATATGTGAGCCTATTAGAAACTGAATTAATTAAAGATTCTATTAGCATCTGACAGTGCCTGTGGGAAAAATGTGCTGGTTTAAAGCAGAAGGAAAGAAAAGAAATCAGAGCATTGCAAGAGTAAGAGGATCTACTAAGAGGACCTTAGAAGAGACTATTCAGGGCACTGGCTCCAGTCCCAATTATAAGACTCCAATTTATGAATTTATAAATTAGATTTATATACTACTTTCCTCCAGGAGTCACTGTTGCTCCATACTTCCCTGTTTCCCCACAGCAACAAAAACCCTATAAGGGGACTCAGGTGACTGGCCCAGTGTGAACTTTCATGGCTAAAATGAATTTCAGTTCAACTATCCCTGGTTCTGATTCAACATTTTAACTACTGCACCTCACTGACTATTACTGTAAATAACAACAATATTGGGATGATGATGATGATGATGATGACATGGCATCAAGTCATTGTCAATTCTTATCAATCACATCTCCCTGATGATGTGTCTCTAACATGATTTTTCAACTTTTCCAATGGTGCGCTCATCACCACTGTAACTGTCAGAGCTACCCCAATCTGATCCCTTAGGAAAGAAAAGCCTTCTACTCCGTTTGATTAAAGTAAAGTGTTCTTTTACTAAGAGTGTTGTTTGCAGTAAATTCAAGCCAGCTCTGAAATCACTGCACTCACAAAATAAGGTGTAAGTTTGCCCCCAGCCCATCCCTCCCCCCCATGCCCAGTCCCTTTCCAGACAACCGGGAGCTCACCAAAATGTTTTGAAAACTCTGAGATGTTTGGGGGTAATACACATATTTCTCAGGGTATCTGACTATGGGATGCTGGTACAGACAGGATCTGGATGCTCTGGTCCTTCTCACCTGTCATCCCCCCCCCCTTCCTGATTTCCTATCATGTACACACAAAGCTTTATTGCCCTTTCATCTTCCCCCTTTCATCCTTCCTCCCCCCCTCTTCTTTTGATGGCAGAATGCCTATGAGGCCCCTGCCAAGCCAGATAGTGCTGACAGTAACTGAGTCCATCCACCTTGCTGATGGTCATCTTCTCTTTCCTTTGTTTTCTTGGTTGTTCACAATATCCTCAGGAATCTTCTCCAACAGTAAAGCTCAAAAGCATCAATACGATTCCTGTCTTGCTTCTTCAGATTCCAAAGTTTGCTTCCATAGTGCCACAGGGAGTACCATGGCCTGCAACATATGGGTTCTTATAAAGACTTAATGGCATTTAAATATCTTTCCTAAGGCTGTGATTGCTCCACCAAGTGGTATAACTTAACTGTTTATTGTATATTACCTGAGGTATCTTACTTTCCTCTTTCTATCCAGTTAAACTCTTATGATGATGATGATGATTATAGTTGGAAACATCTCCAACTAATGCAAACTTAAATGGTCCTGATCTTCATTCTTGATAGAATTTAAAAAGCTAATGGGCTTGGCTAGATGTGAGAGTTAGGAGAACTTTGTTAAAAAAATTAATGTCATTGGACCCCATGGTTATTAAAAGGAGAACAATAGTTGCACGACCCTTCGAAACATTCTTCTGCATTGATGACAAGCAGCTAAGCCGTCAGAAATATACATGTGATTGGAGGCTTTCACCTTGGTCAGTGATCAAGCACACATTTTTCATAGAAAGAATTCTCAATTCAAGCCATATATTTCATACTCAGAATTGCTAGAACTGAGAATAGCCAGTTTATCCAGAAATCTGTATTAAAAGGGGGAAGTGAAACATTTCTTTGGGTTATTATAAATTTGGATGCACAACTTGAAATCCCCCAATATCCTATAAAACTGTAACTATTAAAGAAGGAGAGATTATGAAGAGCAAAAACATAGTATTTGTAGTGTGATATAATATTATGTAATTTAATATCATAATGAACACATTAATACATTAGTGTTTAAAAGAAGATAAATAAAGAAGATAAAAGATAACAGACAAAAGAAAGGAAAGGAAAATAAAGGAAAGGAAAGGAAACTGCCTTTGAGCAATTTAGAATATTTCAGTGTAGATTCAGGAAAGCCAATTTCTTTTCTTTTCTTGGTGTTTTATATGTATCAGTAGGTTTTTTTTTCAAATTTACCTTTCAAATCAGTATTAATAAAATTTATTTGTTTGTTGACTTATATATCATGTTTCTAGACCACCCATAACCCTCAATATCTGAATATTTCCAGATCATATCATATCTAGCTTCCAGTGCCAAAGAGTCCCTGAAATACACTGCATTGAGAAAATATTCAGACCCCCTTCACTTTTGTCAATTTTGTTATGCAGCAGGCTGACTCTACAATTGTTGACATTTATTTTTTCTGATTAACCTACTCTCAGTATCCCATAATGACAAAGTGAAAACAGAATTTTAGAAATATCTATAAATTTATTAAAAAGAAAAAAACTGAAATTTCACATTGGCATAAGTATTCAGACCATTTGCAACAATACTTGAAATTTAGCTCAGATGCCTCCCATTTCTCTTGATCATTGCTAACATATTTCTATGCCTTGATTGGAGTCCACCTGTGATAAATTAAATTGATTGGACATTATTTGGAAAGGCACACACCTCTCTGTAGAAGGCCTCACAGCTGACAGTAGCAGAGTAAAAGCCATGTGGTCAAACTGCTTGCATTGCTCAGAGACAGGATTATTGCAAGGCACAGAACACCGGAAGGCTACAATAAAATTTCTGCTGCACTGAAGATTCCTAAGAGTGCAGTGGCCTCCATAATTCTCAAATGGAAGAAGTTTGGCACAACAAGGACTCTTCCAAGAGCTGGTTGCCCGGCCAAACTGAGAGATCAGGGGAGAAGGCCTTAGTAAGAGAGGTGACCCAATGATCACTCTGACTGAGCTCCAGAGATCCTCTGTGGAGATGGGACTGTTAATATGCATATGCAGCAAAAGAAACTCCGGGGACACTATTTTACCAAGAGTATAACTTTACTGATAGATCCATATAGGTTCAGAAGAAGCAAAGCTGATTCTGAGGTTTTGGCGTGAAAGGTAGCATAGTTAAACTCCCTCTTTTTCGTCCCCAGGGAACCCCGTGTCCATTGTTCACCAATCTTGTTCAATCATATTGTTTTGGGAAACAATCTGCATTGCTCGAAAGGTTCCCATCTGATAAACGTGAAGTCTCGGGACTTTCTCAGGCTGCAAATGGCTCACATAAATTCCTTAGTTCCCTCCCAGCTCCTATACATTCCAATCATTCCTCTCCTTCCCCTCCCCTAGTTTCTGTTGTCAGGTTGTGGATAGCGGTGTGTTACGAGTCAGCCTTGACAGGGACAGAGTTCCAAAGGACAACCATCACTGCAGCCCTCCATTGATCTGGGCT